TTTGTACGTAGAATTTATTTAAAAAAAATTTTGATTAAATTTGATTAAATTTTTGTTAAGTTATTGTCGTTTAAAGTTTAAAAAAAATTTACTTAAAAAAAATTTGCTTGATTTCTATCGACTCAACCCCATGTGTCTAGCAATTTTTCACCTAGGGATGCTAGTTCGGCTCAAAGCATTTGCAGATCCCTAATTTTAACATAGATTAAAACAATTTTAGCTAACAACTGTACTTCATTCCCCAAACACGTAATTTTAAAGCATTTAAGAATTTGATTCGACCTTTAAAATTACAAAGTGATTTTTAATATTAATAATTTAAACATTAAAATTTAAACTTTACAAGATGTATTAAGTTTTATAAAATAATGTTACAATGAAATTAATATAATTATAATTTTCTACTAATTCTATTAATGAACATAATCCGAGACAAAAAATTTTGACATAAATGCTTCATAAGTATTACAATTGGGATTTTTATGCCGCCCCGTTATTAAACTAATATCTGATGCACGTTCCATATATGAATTGTGACACATTGTTATATTCGAACTATGAATATTACGCAAACTGTTTCGAAATGCTTGAACCGCTGTTTGTCGTACCAAAGGCCCTAACACATTTTTTGAAACTACCATACCATGCAATAATGGCCCAAATGGAGGGATTTTGTTATCGCGATAAATGTCTATGCTAAACAGGCCATTAGGCAAAGGAGTAACAATAATTTGTGCGTTGCCAAAATCACCTCCAATAGTCGTCTTACGATAATCTCTGTTATGCTCGTTAAATACTATGTGAACATGATCATTACCTATGTGACGTTTCTGGTAATGAAAAAGTAATGTTAGCATATGAAATGAAATATGACGCAAAGCTAATAATAACATTACTTTTCTTAGTTGCTTAGGATCAGTTAAATCGGTTGGCATCTTTGTTACATCATGGAAAATTATTTCGAGTGTCGAAGTGCAATAATAAATTGAGGTAAGACCATTGGTTGCATTTCGTTCTAATCCACCAAGATATCCAGGATGTGTCGCAAGCTCGATTTCCCATCCAAGACTCTCCACAAATTCATCATATGAAGGGCTACCATTCGTATTATGTAAAATACTTTTTTCGTTTTCTTGACCAGGACCAACATACAAGAGTGCAACCTTAATTACCTCACGAGCATGCTTCTTGTCTAAAAAGCGTATATCACGAAATAAATTAGATGATTTATTTAACATGCAGATGGAATCGTCTTTCAATGCTTCAGGATCAAGCCATCCAAAATGGCTTAAAAATAATCGACAAAGTTGATAAGGTTCTGTAGGTTTTTCAGCTTCAGGGGGCAGCACTGGAATAAATGACTTTGATAGTGAAAAATCTGCCCCTAGCGATAAGTAGGATGTCGACCGAGTATATAGTGGATTTCGCGAACGCCGTTTGACCGCATGTCGATTTTCACGTTCTTGAAAGATATTGTTTCTAAGGGAGATGAAATTATCATACCATAATTTTCTTAATAAAAAAAATAAACCCCATTGAACACGCTATTAGCTGCAAAAAAAAAAAAAAAACCAAAACCAAAAAAAAATAAAATGTAAATTAGGAGCTTACGCTTGGCCATTTATTGAGTTGTCATAGAGTGTTTCTTCCTGTATGTGCCGGTCTAATTGATCTTCAATTTGAGATAAACCATTTACAACATTTAATGATGTGCTAGGTGAAACCTCTTCATCTTTTGTATATGATGAATGTTGGTCAATACTTTATTTAAAGCGATTATAATAGTTAATAAGCTTGAATACAATTGGTAAAATTTTATAATAATGAATCAACTTACTATTGGAGTAGATTATCCAACATATTTACATTTTCAGAACTGCTTGCTTCAGTCCATACAGGCAATCGATTTTTATCGTTAGAAAAATTCCCTGATCGATAGCGTGATTTTATCTTTGGCGATGAGTTATTGCTAGCAAAAAAAAAAAAAAAAAAAAAAAAAAAAAAAGAAATCAATATAAACATACAATTTTTGTGGAACGTAAATACTTAAAAATATAAAAAAAAACATACGACTTAGGCTTGTTATTTGACTCAACTTTGATATCAGGTCTCAAAATTATATGGTCAATATTTTCAGCATTTTTATGCGCATTTTCTCTCTCAGAATATTTATCATCAAAAGATGCTTTATAAAATAAACTAGAATCCCACGCGTATCGGCCAGAAAAGTCTCGTATAATCATTCGCGATACTATACAAACAGATTATATTCATTCGAGAAAGGTGCTAATACTATAACAAAACATGTACTGTATACATATATCTTAAAATACCTGGTGCGTTATCTCCTGGTATTTCAACTAAAGTAATTATTGTCGTATCATTAAAAGAAAAATAATGGTAATTATCAGATGCCTCATCATCTTTGGTGTCACATCCTAATGGTCCTATTAAAGTGCTTATATATTCCAAATTCCAAGTTAGACATTGTACCAACAGAATAAATAAATCAATAACTTTTACCTATTCATCATTGCAGGACCATGAAGAGGTGCAAAGTTATCCAAATGGTGTGTTAAATGTAATAGCACATATTCTGCAACTTCCTTGAAATGTAAAAAAAATAAGTTTTTATTCCTATTTACATAAATGGATTTATGGGACTGGTTTATTATGTTAAAACATTTCTAGTCTTATTTTGTTTATGTATATATGAGTTTAATATAATCCACCACAAATCCATTGATATGCACCAGATTTTTTAATATACAATTAAATGATACATTACTTTGACAAAATTAGCATCCTCTATATCATTTTCTACTCCAACCACGTGAATATTCTGTTCATTATCAAAAGTTGAGCCCGACGCAACTTTTCTCTCTGCTTTCTTAAATCTCACATTGCTATCTCGGTCTCTATTTTTTCCACTTCCTTTGTTTGATAAATTTGTACAATGTTTTCTATAGATTCTTGGCGAATCAGACTATCGTGAAATATAAATAACAAAAAACAAGAAATTAGGTTTATCTGACAAATTATAAAAATAACAAAGTTTTTCTATTGACATACACCCGGGGCTTCAAGTGCCATGTCAACCACATCAAATACTAATTGGCATAATTCTGTATCTGTAAAAAGATTGGTCGGAATGACCATTAGCCACTCGAGAAGGCAATAAAATAACTTTGCTATTATGAATCCTAAAGAATAGATATAAACAAATTTAGAAAACAATCTCGTAAAAACAGGAAATAAGACAGTTTGTTTACACCTTACCTCGGCCATTTCTACTTGATGTTTTATGCAAATTAAGATGCTCATTGAGTGCACCAATAAGATATGCAAATACATCTTGTAATATCATAATGTATATCTAAAATAATTATAAATCAATACACACATCAAATATAAATATGTCCAATAATACAAAAAATATCTTACCTCATCTTCATCACACCAAATAGAAGAATTCTGTGCAAAAGAAATCAAACAATCCGTAGCTGCACTAACAATTGGCAAGTGACTCCAGTATAATTGTTCTAATAATGCTTGAAAACATTCCTTGACAATGGTTTTGTCGGGCCTACCAGAAAGTGAATAATTTAATAATAGTAAAAATAACAAAAGCTAAGAATATAGTTTAAAACAAACCATGGTGTAGCGGTAAGTTCATCAAAAGCAAAGGTAAAAATTCCATACAACATCATATTATGTGTTTCGTAATTATAAATCGACATTTCATCTGCAAGAGAGGATATTAAAGTGTCCTCTAAAAGCAACCTCATCTATAGAAAAAAAAAAAAGGTAATTTGAGAATTATATTAACAAAATCTAATACAGCTCAGAAAAAGTCATTTACTTCAGAAAATCGCATGCTATCGAAATGACCTAATTCTGATACATCCAAATCGACATTATTAAACTGAACGAGATTTTCATACGATATTATTGGAACTTTTACAGTCGGCATTTGATTTACTATACAAATAAGAAAGCAAATTATTGCAATGGCATTCTGCTTCGCGAGTTCGGGTATATGTTTGTCGTTCTTTAATAGCATATTCCGAATTGCTTCAATAAAACTCTGATATAAGATACTGTATCCTGGAAGCCCCCGAGAGAAAAGTTTTGTAGAATTATTCACAATGGCAAGTGTTATTGGAATGTCCTGATCTGAAAATTCTTTGAGTAAAGCACGATAAAAATGCGGATAAAACGCTTCGTCAAAGTCTTTATCTTGACGTTGAGACATCATTTTACATAATCCAGCATACGCCAATGCGCGTCCCGGAGCAAATGCTCTATTAGATCAAAAAATTTAATGAAAATCAGAGCAAAATCATATCAATCCATGTCATTTTATAGCACAGATTACTTTCTGTTTACCTACAAGGGTAAATCACAAGCTTGAAAAAACCAAGGAGTAAAATCGTAATGTAAAGACAACGAAAAATTTCCAAATTTGTTATTACGAATCTAAAAAAGAAACAACAATTAGTATATTTTTAAAGTGCATAAAAAATTTTACAAATTTTGCTATTACCAATTCTAGCATTTCCAACATATCTACGAGACATTTTATTGCATCTGCATGATTTGACGTAACCTTATTATAAATACAAAACTTAAATTTACTATACATGTGAATATTAAAAATACCAAATATTAAATATATTAAAACTACCTGTATATAATTTAAATTTCCTAGTGCACATAACATATTTTTCCATACTAGAACAGCACTTTCACCATTCCATGGCAATGGCTCCAAATTACAATAATCGGGACATTTGAAATTACCCAAAGATATTGATAATTTTTCACCACTAAAATTTGGATGCGCGAAAAACACCGAAGATGAAGAAGTTCGGTGTGACTATACATTTTATATCACTGATTAATAAGTTATACTCAACAAATGGAAAAAATACACCACATTTAAAAGTAATATACTTTAGGCTCAGCCGGATCTTCAAATGCAAGCTCGCTACTAGCATCGAAAAAGTCATCTTCACCTTCGACCTCTTCACCATCTTCATCTGATGCAACACTACCAGAATGTGTTGATGAAGCAGGGCCGCTGTTTACAACATTAAATAAAGCCTGTCCACTTAATAATCTTGAATCCAACGAATTCATATCTTGGTGCACACTCAGTGCTCGACGACCGGATTTATTACTATCAGGAGGGTTTTTATTATTAAAAGAAAATGAAAATTCGGCATTGAGAGCCCCCAAGACCTCTTCACGTGAAGAAGTACTACCAGAAGATTTATGTTTGTGTGTTCCTCGCAAAGAAAGATGTCGTGTGCGATTTTTGGAAGGTCTACGTCTATGATAGTGTCGCTCAGAGGTAGAAAGTTCTGAAAGTCGACGATCTAATTCAAGAGCATCAAGATCAACATTATATACGTGTTTCGAAATTATTTTAGTAAGACGCAGCATGATTTTCTAAGATTAGATTGCCAATAAGTTAATAATTTTCACATAAGGTCCAAAAATTTGACCATTTTGAAACAATTGGACATTTATGCTTACAGCCCATTGGGAGATAGTCTGAGACCATCTTGTACTATAACTCATTTGGTTTCTTAATTCCCGCCATAAGTCAGGTTGTTGAGCTTTTGACCGCGCAAAGGCATTCAGTACTGTCTAATATTGAAATAATGTTATGCGAAGCCGAGGAAAAGACAACAAGTGAGTATATAAGTACTAACTTCGACTAAGTAATCTGCAAGTTCTTCTGCCAATGACACCGAGGGTATTGCAGCATATTTATCCTTCTGATTCATAATTTTTTCTTGAATATCCAAAAGTGACAAAAGTAGAACTTCCCTGTAATCAATATTGTAAAACATGAACAAAATATTAAATTATATTAATGAACAGGGTTTGAGGTGTGCTCATATAATTTCAAGTAGTTTTCGTCCGATCAATTTTTAATGTCGGGGATGATGCTGAAATATTGACTTATTTTAATATGAAATTTTAAGGGATATTTTTTTAGCTTTTTTTTTGTAGTTAAGGTTTAGGGCTTGTTTATAATAAAAAAGTATAGGTGGATTTTAGTAGGGTTTATATTTATAAATTGAGCATCATCCCCGACATTTAATGTACTGTACATAGTACTTGCCGGAAAAACCAATATTCTACATCCGGGCAATCAACTCACCATGTTTCTGCCTCTAACTCAATAGGCCCCTCCGAAATCATTGATCGATAAAGAGCAAGTACGTCCTTATATATTGAAACTTGCGAATCTACCTATAAAGGGATAAGTTATAAAGTAATTTTTATCACATTAAACGTACACGGTTGTTAAAAAGTGTTTTACCTCTAGATTTGTCATACCATTAAGAGTCATGAAGGAATGATCTTCGAAAACGAGACTTAATAATTGAATATATCTCCGAAGGTATACATTGGCATCCGAATATGTTGTGGAAAAAGACGTAGCCGATGAAGGTGTAATAACTGGTGTACTTGGTTGCTCACTCTGACTGTCAACTGAGGAAATCTGATTACTAAAAGATCCAATTGTAGAAGCAGATAGTGGACCCTGTGATGGAGATTTGCGTAAGAATGCTGGTCTCTCTTCTTCCTGTGAATATAAATAAAATATAATAATAAATACAAACACAATTAATCATATTCTTCATAGCTATTAATATATTAGTAGAAGTAATATAAATCAATAACTGAATGCTATCTGTACTAACCCCACTAAGTATCCAGACACCAACAATATGAACAGCACCTCTCACAATATCTTTATATAATGGACTACCAGCAGGTAACATGAGAGCTTGGCGTACTATTTCATGCGCAAATTCGCGATTCTCGGGACCTAGTACAATAGACTTTAGGATCGGAGTGGCAGGTGAGGGATATGATGAAATCTTTTCTGATGGGCTATGATGATTATCAAGACAATGGTGGATAAAAAACGTGATTAATGCACGGAGAATTGTTGGTGGGCACTTCTTAAAACCATAGTCTGTTCAGCATATATAAATATAAAGAACAAGTAATAGAAATTAATGAAAAAGAATAATTGAAAAAAAAGATATTTCTATAATAAAATATTCGATCTCACCTTGATTTTCTGCCAGCAAACCAATACTTTTAGCACATTGAGGAAAAAGTTTTACAAAATAATATTTTTTTGTGAGATCAAAATGAAATTTCGCAGCAGCAAAAGCAGCATCAATGCCCATCCCGACTGCTATTCCATTATCAGGCTCGATATTTTCAATTGCAGGAAAATCATAATTTTCTGGTGGTGGGGTTGAACCTGCGGCGACATGTGCCAGTCTGACAAGACTACTTAGATCAAGTTGTATCAATTGTACAGCATCATTAAAAGTAGGTGGATGAGGATTCGGAAATAGTGGACCTTGGTCATCAGCTATAAAACAATTTTAGATGTTAAATCATAGAAACAATTGCGATAAATTATGCTTGGTAGACTCACATCGAATCAACTCTTGTCCAAGCCATAAAGGAACATTGCTTTTTCGCCACACATTTTGCCTTTCATAATAATCGTCGCTTCCATTTCGTATTTGATCATATAAAAATAAGTCTAACGAAATAGCATTTGAATAAAGATGCATGCACTCTTGCAACTCGATAGTTTGATCATTTAACCATAATAACAAAAGTTGAAATCCTTGTATCCGAACACGCGGATGATTTCCGTGATCAAGTAGATGGGATAACATTTCAGCTTTTTTTTTTTGGTTTTTTGTTTTTTTTTTTTTTTAAATAATAATGATAATAGTAATAATAAGAAAAATTAATAACATAAATATTTAAATCTGCTAGCCACCTAGTAAACTCGAAATCGGTTATATCGATAATACCTATTTGTCTCCGCTGCCAACCTACTCTAATTTTGTCTGGTAAGAACAAAAATATTTTGCGTAATAACAACAAAGTCTTATTTATATTTAAAAATTCTTTTGACGAAAATGTCATGGGTCTATCAGGTTTTTCTGCCAAACAAACAATTATATATATACAATAAATTTGTTAGATACATTTATACTCTCTTAAATTAAGGTTGGCTTTATCTGTTTTAAATTCTCACGTTTTATTTTCTCGACTTGTCCCATAAATGACTTATAAACTACATCGAATACATCTTCGGCATGCTCTTGAAAGAATTGAGCTTGATCCAATACATTCGTAACATCTTCAAATCCGCAAAATAAACAACCAATTAATTGAAATGTCATTTCAGAAATAACATAACACTACTCTTGCAACTGTAAGCCAATTACACCACATTCCATGAGAATAGCTCACCAATAAAACTCCAAAGCGATGCAATTCTTGCTTTTGATTTTTGTCTTTGATCTAGGAATATCTTTGCCTTTTTTAATAATTTCTCCATTCTATCATCCTTTAGTATGCCTTTGTTCTCCCTATTCATATTGAATGTAATTTATTTTGCGTGAAGAGATTGATGTCGACTTTGAAGAATTTCCACTGTGTTCCCAACACTTAAGTATGCTACTATTACCGATACTAACTAATAGGTTAACGCAGTGTTGTCAATAGACTTCTGGAACTCCACTGGATGTCCAGAGTCTTCCAGAGTTCCAGTGGTTCCAGCGATATATTACACTAGAACGATTTTCCCGCTGGAAGACATCTGCCTGATTGGTTGATTTATGTCAATTCGACGTGACTATTGACCAATTAAATCAATCAAATAAATTTAGTATGCGAGTAAAAGGATCTATTAGCGAAACTTCTATTGTATTTTAATAAATAATTAGCAATTCTATTCTATTTTTCACTATTTCGTTACCAGCGACAATACTTTATTATTGATATATTATTAATTAATAATGCTACGACTATTAACCTTCAAATCATGATTAATAGAATGGCCGACAACTATCTGATCCATTTAAACAACTGACAAATACAAACAATACAGAAATAATTGAAAAGAAACTCTATTACGCAGAGTTTAAATGATGCTGTTAATGATGTCATGCTATATTACGCTTGCTAATTGTATTAAATTATGCTTTTTATGCTTAGCTTTTTTTTTTAATAAAAAAAAAATTGAATTACTATATTTGTTAAGTTAGTAGAAACCAAACAAATTGTTTTTAATTAAATTTTTTTTAAAATTTTAACAATAACTTAATAAAAACTTAATCAAATTTAATAAAAAATTTTTTTAAGCTAGCAATTTTTTCTAATAATCTTTTGATCAATAACTTCAAAAAACTGAACTATGAAAAAACATTATAGAAGATACTGAAAGTAGACAATACTACACAAGTAGGTGTGTTGTTAACAAAGTTACAAGATATAAATATCAAGAAGTAAAATATATTTAAGCAGTTTTGCCAAAATCAAATTTTGGTTAATAAACTTTTTTGCATATTTGATATTTAAATTAGAAGAATATTTTAGAAACACAAAATAACTAAATTGATGTTAAGAATATTAGAAATTAGAACTTATTTTTATATAATTATAAAATTTACAAGAAGTAACTTATATAAGTTTTATTAGCCTATTATTTTTTAAAAAAAAATTGTCAAAAAATAAATATTTTAGCTTATTTTTTCTAAAAAATTAATATATAATTTTTCAAAATAATTAATATTGTTTATTTAAAGGTGTGTCATTTATTACGTAATATTTTTTGCTTAGTAGTTACCCATTTATGTATGGTAGTGATATCAAATTAGAGGTTATTTGCCTTTTTTCCAAATGATCTAGATCATTTCAGGTTAAAATTTATAATAAAATTAGGTCATTTAAAGTTATTTGAGGTTATTTGAAGGGTATTTGAAGATCATTTGCCATCACTGATGTATGGCGTAATCATCTCTAGCTTGATTCTGATTGGTCTATTTAATTAATTATTAAAAAAATTTTAATTTTTTAAAAATTAAATAACTTTTGATCTATTAGTCTGTTTTAAATAATTTAACTGTCAAAATATTCATCTTGATGAGATGATTCTAATAAATCTAAAATCACTAAAATCTAATTACAGGATTCTGAGATTATTAAAATTATTTGTATAAGTTTATATATAATAAAATTAGTTTATTATATATAAAATAGTACAAAACCTTAATGATCTTAGGATCCTGTAATTGAATTTTAGTGATTTTGGGTTCATTAAAATCATCTTATCAAGATGTTTTGATAGTTAAATTATCTAAATCGGACTAGTAGATCAAAAGTTACTTAATATTAAAGATTTATTATACTGTAATATATATAATTTATGAAATAATCTAGTTGTTGCCAATAGTAACAGTCACCAGATTGCAATTGACCAACCAGATTGTATTATAGAATCAAAACAAACATTAAAATTAATTGTCATTAGGGTCAGAGTAAGAGTTGAATTAGAGTTGGGATAGGAGATGTAGTATAGTAAAATTTTGCAAAGATTTTTTTTTATTAGAATATAAAAGATAGTTTTATAGATAAAATTTTGAGCTATAACAGATTTTGAAAAATTTCAATGTTTTTTCATTTTCAGGTTATACAAACATTACACCTGATTCTGTGATGTAATTGGCTAATTGCAACCTGATACTGTCACCGCTGGCGACAAATAGATTCACCCATAATTTATATATTAGAGACATGACAAAAATCAAGTGATTTTTTAGAGGGAGGAGATAAAAATTTTAAAATTATATATAAGGACCTGATCAAATTATATGACACTGCTCTTATATATTTTATATATTTAATTATATATTATTATTATATTTGCATGTAATAACGCACATGTGTATTATTTCAAAATTGACACTTTTTTAAAAATTGTCTATTTGATTCAAAATAATGCACATGTGCGTCCTGAAATAATGCACCCCTAAAAGTTTGCACAATAAATATAATTATAGAGCACATGTTTATTAAATTATTGGCAATATTGATCCAAAATAACATACATGTGCATTCTAAAATAACACACAGATGCTCAAAATAACGCACAGATGCTCAAAATAACGCACAGGTGTGCATTATTATGCAAAAATACAGTATATATTATATCCTAAATGACAATTTTCCTAGATAACAATCTGGTCAAAATTATAAATTAATTAGCCTAGACATTAGAATTAGATTTGGCTAATTTTAATTTAGACTATCTCAATTAGCAATCTAGACAGTATTGTTATTTAAAGTACAACATATATGTATAATATAATTATTCAGCTTATCATATATCTATAGTAAAAATAATGTAATAAATAGCATATCCCTTACTAAAATTTTTTTTTTTTTATTTTTATTTTTACAATGTCATGAAAAGGTGAATTTTTATTAGACTGTATATTCTTGGTTAACAAGAGTATATTTAGCTACATGTATAACTTTTGATTACCTATTTAAATAGTTATAACCTAACTAGGAGATTATCTATTTAAACTCTCTGATGTCTTCTATTCTGCACTACTGTCGCAATTATGCCAGCTCATAACCTTGTACTGCTTTAATTTTTTTTTTTTTGGTATTCAGGTGGGATCTTGCCCATGACTTTATTTATTATTAATACTTTCATTACATGTATTACTACATTTTCATATTTTACATATATCAAGTACACTAAGCTCAGACCCGGATCCTATTGGTTACTTATGCTCTGGCCAAAACCGTCACTTGCACAATAGGTGTCCCCATCCGCTATCTGGCCACCGATCTATTATCTGCAATCCAAATCTACCAGAGTAATATGTCTTTATGGATAGCATTCACCTGGTATTTTTTCATCCTTCACTAGTCCTATTTTGGTACACTTCCCTATGACGTCATTCTCTGCATCTCTCATATCACTTATATCTAAGCTTCCAAATTTGGTAATCTCTTCTGGGATATGGCCTCATAGCCTCAAGTGCTACTTCTAATCTTGGTTATCTTCAGCTAGTCTGTCCAGGTAGTATCATAAAGAGAAACTTATGCTGGCCCAGGTTAAGCCTCATCATTAATGCCTAGTTTAGTTAGTATACTGCCGATTCTCGTTACCTTTTTAAGTAGGTACTCCTGTGTGTTGGTGCAGGCTTGCTGTATTGTGTTATAGGTTACTCTATAACTTTCAGATAGAGGTTAGAACCGGTTTTAATAATTCAGGTTTATCACGTGAATTTTGTGATATTTTAGAATTTATTAAATTTTAATTAGATTAAATTCTAAAATATCAAAAATTCATGTGATAAACCCGAA